CATGACGTGTTACTAGCGTCACATGACTTCCGCTGTCGTAACAATAATAAAAAAGAAACATTCTTAAACTTTAATTACTGTAACTGTAAGGAAACGTGTGAACAACAAGTAGTTTACATACCTTATAAATACCGTGACCTAACCTTTAAAGATATATATATAAAGTATTTTCTGAATGATCAAATTTGTGGTTGAAAATAGTTTTATTTTACTTTAATTTAAGTGTATATTAAAGCAAATACAAGAGTGTACTTATCTTGGGTAGCATAACATGGCTCGTTAATCCGAACGCGCTGAATCACAATTATCTAAAGAAAAAATAAACTTTCTGGCAATTATCGTAATCTATATAAATATAATAGTACTGTCTGTTGGCTGTCCATATAACTACTTCGCAAAATTGGTATGGAGGTTCATTAGGTTCATGCGGGGGGTACTTCGGCCTATGTTGATGGATTTTCACCAAATTTGGCCTGAAGGTTTGTTGAGTTTTGTGTTTTGCAGTTTTTATGGGGTTTTTTTGCGTTTTTTAAAAATTACATATAAGGGAAGCAACTTTTCATGTCCTAAGATAATCATTCATTAATCATGAATTTACACAACTTCCGTCTAATGTACGGGTACACCAGCTAGTAGAACAAACGTTTTTGACACATATTTACGACGTCTTTTAAGCACTGCTAAGTAACCCAAGAATGTTATTTCCGTTGTTGTTGACAATAGTATCTCACAACATGTTTGTTTGGGTGACAGTTAAAGTCTAATTGTTAGTGTGTGAAAGTAAGTTAGCATAAATACATTAAAGATTTTGCTTATATTTCGAATATTCAACAAAGTAATCTTATAAATTTTTCAATTTGTTAATTATTCTTAGTTAATGACTTTACAGAATCCTCATTCTAATATGAAGATTTAAATTATTAAACAAGTTAGAAGGTTTTAATATGATTGAAATACACAACATTTTAATGTCGTTAATCAAGTTATGATTTAGTCTTCGACTTTTTTGTTGGAAAACCGTCCTTTTTCCAGATTTTTCTTGCCAAGCTTTAAGGAATTTCAGTTACTCCATTGTCCTCTGCTTGTTCTATACCGGCAGCGTAATCACATTTGTTGTTCATTAAAAACAGTTTTCGAAGAGGGGCAAATGACCAACCCCAACTTCTCTCAAATCCCCTCTTGGGTCAGCGACCAAGTTTATGGACTCAAGACGCTAAAATCCTAGGTTAGATTTCTCGCACTGGACAGAAAACAGATGACGCAGTATATGGCTTGGCACAAGAACAAACAGGTTTCTCAGGTTGGTTCAATTAAAGTTGCCCCTCAGTGGCACAGCGTTATGTCTGCGGACTTACAACGCTAGAAACAGGGTTTCGATACCCGTGGTGGGCAGAGCACAGATAGCGCATTGTGTAGCTTTGTGCTTAACTTCAAAACAACAACAATTAAAGTTTGAAAGTGCGCCATCTATTATTGAGATTATATTAAGAGAAAAGCGATTTATTGCGTAATACATGTTAATATTTTGTTAAAGTAACAAGAATATATATACTGGAATATTGCGATTTGTCGGCATGTTGAAAAATATACTGATATTCAGATCTCTTGCAGTTGACACTCATGGTCTCAGTTTGTAATATCCAGTCATATCAAGTTATTTATCAAGAAGTGAGAAGTCAAACTCAGTGTCGTGACTATACGGGAGGGGGAGACAGTATGGACCTGACAAACTTAATAATTGCCTACAAGGGAAGAAACATACGATTTAATTTTTTTTAACAAAAGAAATAAAAATTTACCTTCAACCCTCTAATGGTTGTGCTAGTATTTAGGTAGCGTGAGGACAGTTGTGCTTGCTATTGGGTTGAGTGTCATCTCATTGAAGCCGGGAGGTAAACCGAGAAAGGCCGACATTATGTATATATATATTGTTACGTCTCCGTTCGTTAGTTGATTTTCCGTAACTTCGTTCCGACGAACTTTAGCGACACAAGTCCTTACTTAATAAAACTGGTTTATTCTTT